TTGAACTCGTGAACCATGAGATCATGACCTAAGCTGAAGTCAGACACTTAACCAACTGAGCCACCCAGGCGCCCCTCCTAATTTTTATTACAGTATGTTGCTATTATTGATCTATTTTATTATTAGTTGTAGTTGTTAATTTCTTACTGTGCCTAATTTATAAATTAAACGTGTAAGTTGATAGACCAGTGGCCCATTAATAGGTATGTATAGGTATATATAGGAAAAGACAGTCTGTACAGGGTTCAATGCTATCCACAGTTTCAGGCATCCACTGGGGGTGGTGGAACATGTCCCCTATGGATAAGGAGGGACTACTATCTAAGTAAGCCAGTCTAAAAATATCATAGTCGTCTTTGGCTCCCTTCTCTCTCCTGTCCACGTGCACATTCACATAATTAATTGCGTACAATACCTTTCAAAATCTCCCCTCTTTGCAATTCCCCAAACCCTAATTTAGGTCTATCTTTCACCTTGTCTAGGCTATTATCATAGTTTCTGACCCATTCTGTTAAATTCTTATCTCACTGTCTGTTGGTGAGATTCACTTAGGTCCCAGTTATTAAAACACAGATCTGAACATATCCCTCTCCTATCACAGACCTTTAATCGCTCCCATTACCTTCCAAATTGAGTCCAGTATTTAGCCTGGCATTCAAGGCCTGCCACCAGCTGGCCTTCTAACTAGATTCTCAACCTATTTATAAACTTACCTTATCTACTCTACCTCTGTTCTGGTCGGAAGTGTTTCCTGTCTGCCTTTTGGTTCAGCACTTTCCTGCCCCTGTACTGTTGTCATGCTGTTCCCTGTGCCTGGACTGCCCTTCACTTTTTTCACTGTATGTCCATACGTCCAGATGCAACCTCACCCTTTGACGTGCAGCCCAGATGCTATCGTTACCTTCCTTCCTCTAACCTCTGGAGAACACTAAACTATTTGTTTTGACTTTCCATAGTACTTCATTTCCGTCTCTCACTTTTTACTTTCTGCCTTGTATGAAGTGAAGCACATGTTTTTAAATAAACAGATTTATAGAACTTCTCAGATTTCTATTGTATAACTGTATCATGTTTTATTTAACCAATTCTCATTTTTAGGCATTTAGATTTCCGACTTTTAAAAATTGATTTCCATTAAGGTTGCAATGAACAGCGTTAGAGAAACATCTTTGTGCAGTTGCTCGACATCTTCTGGAGTACACTTCTAGGTTTGAGATTTCAAGGGAGACAAATATTAAGGGTTTTTGAACTTGCAAATTGTTATGTCATTAAAGCTTTCCAGTTCTGTAACTTCTTCTCTATAATTCCTTTTAATATTAAAATCAGAGTAAACATGTATCCTGTTTGGCGATACATAAAATCGGTTTACCTCTTTTCTATAATACTGTCATTAAGATATTTGTTTTGTCTTTGCTTCTTCTAAATTGTGCTTTATCTATTATGTTCAAGTATAAAGATTCAAAAAATTAATACTCGACATAGCAAAATACTGTTTCACTTCTTTCGTGTTCCTTGTCTCCTAGTTTTGAATAGAAAATGCATGACTTTTTTCTTCCCATATTATTTTTCCCACTGTGGTTGTGAGTCATCACTGGCAAACTGGAGACTTTTTTGCTACACCAGGCACTGCTGCAGTGAAAGTAGAAGATTGGCGCTTTTTTTTTTTTTAAATTTTTTTTCAAGCGTTTGTTGTTTTTTGAGACCTGGAGAACCAGGCAATGAGCGAGGGAGGGGCAGAGAGAGAACCTGGGGCTCAGGCTCCAGGCTCTTCTAGTATCAACCCAGAGCCCGGAGACTCGAACTCCGGTTTCTTGAGACCATTGACCTGGCTGAAATGAGACTCAACCCGACTTCGCCACAAGCCCCGAAGGTTAAGCGCTTTAAAGGCCATGACAACGTAGAATTTCTTTCTGGCTTTCTTAGGTTGAAACTGTTAGCACTGGAAAGAAGGGGGCATTTACCCACAAAATCCCTTCTCATTCCTTTGTAGGTGCTTTAGAAGGTGGATAGTATGTTATAATTACAATAAGAACTGGAATTCTTCTAGTAAGACTTTATTTTATATTTCCACTTATATTAAAACCAGTCTAGACGGAGCACAAAGGGTCTTTAGGGCAGTGAGACCATTTGTATGATACTCTAAGAGTGGATACATGTCATTGTACATTTGTCCAAACCTATATAATGTACAGCCCCAAGAGTGAACCCTAAGTTAAAGTATGGACTTTGGGTGATTACGACATGTCAGTTATGTTCATCAGTTGCACCAAATGTACCCTCTGGTGGAGGGTGTGCATAGTGGGGAAGGCAGTGCCTGTGCGGGAGTAGCAGTGAGTATATGGGAACTGTGTATTTGATGCTCAATTTTGCTATGAACTTAAAACTGCTCTAGGGACACCTGGGTGGCTCAGTTGGTTAAGCATCTGACTTCTGCTCAGGTCATGATCTCCCAGATTGTGGGTTTGAGCCCTGTGTCAGGCCCTGCGCTGACAGCTCAGAGCCTAGAGCCTGTTTCAGATTCTGTGTCTCCCTCTCTCTCTGCCCCTCCCCCGCTTGTGCTCTTTCTCTCTCTCTCTCTCTCTCTCTCTCTCTCAAGAATAAATAAACATTTAAAAAATATTTTAAACTGCTCTAAAAAATAAAGTTTTTTGAAAATAACCACTCTAAATTAAGACTTCTAGAGAGGTTGGTTTTATTAAGGACACAATGCAAATTCTACTTTTCAACTGTAGTTTGATTTTATTTCTATGCAAATATCTCATAAGCTAATAAAATGTTCTAAACAGGAAGCCTTTGATAAGCTACTTTAGTAAATAAAATTATTGGTAAGTAGTGTATCAATCATGTAAACAGTACTTCTAAAGGACTTGAAAATCATTCTTACACTAGATAAAATCTTATAGTTATTTTAAACTACTAATTTGGTCAGCTTTGAAAAATAATGTAGGAGCGCCTGGGTGGCTCAGTGGGTTAAGCGTCCGCCTTCAGCTCAGGTCATGAACTCGCAGTTTAAGGGTTGGAGCCCCGCATTGGGCTCTGTGCTGACAGCTCAGAGCCTGGAGCCTGCTTCGGATTCTGTGTCTCCCTCTCTCTCTGCCCCTCCCCTGCTCACCCTCTGTGTCTCTCTCTCTCAAAAATAAAAATATAAAAAAAATAATAATAAAGAAAAGAAAAGAAAGAAAAATAACGTAAAAATAAGCTTTAGCTTAGCTCTGGGTAAATAATTATAACTTATGACGTACAGGATTCCAAA